TATAAAAACACGTTGAGCCAAAAATGCACAAGTGTCCGAACACTTTGACTCGTTAATGGACGTGCAATTAAAGTTTTATTCGAAGAAACGATATTTTATATTAGGCCACACTTATTACGTGACGCGGACATGAATAGTTCATGGACCGTATTTGAAGATAGAAATCATGTTCGTCAACTCCATAAATCGTAAAGCAGAGACGTATAAATTTCCACGGGGATGATTTATTGCGTGACTGTTTAAATTAATTTTTAAAATTAAATATATATACGTATATATATAATATATATATATATTATTTATTATTTAATAAATAAAATAATAAAATGTAATTCTTTTTAATATATTTATGTTTTATTATAGTAACAATAATTGACAATTTTATAATGAAATGATTTATTTATGAATTTTCAATAAAAATTTTATTAATTAAACTCAACAGAAATAATTAGAATTTTATACTATTCAATTTCATCTTTATCATCAACTATATTTACATTGTTTATTATTATTAATGATAATGATTTATAATTTATAAATATTATCATTGTAAAATAATAATAAAATATTTCAATAATTTTATTAATAATAATTTAGTTATATTTTCATACATGAGTTCAAAATTTTTAAGAAATTCCTCCTTACTAACATTATTTCTCAAAAGAAGAATATTTCCATTTCATAGTCCGTATCCGCGAAATTGTAGCCGAAAAGTTCGAGGAATGTAGATCGTCGGTTTTATCCACCGATCGCGAATAAAAATATCTGACGATTGAGAAACGAGACACAGACGTAACGAGAGAGAAGAAGCAATGACAATGCTCTTTCTCCCCCGTTTGTTCGTGACACGTTTCTTAACGACGGTTAAGGGGAACAGAAACGACTCTGTAATCATTTCCAGAGCGTTTATGATTATCGACGATCGTTCTTCCGGCTAATAGAAACTGTTATTGGAAAAAACCGTTGGAATTAGAAGGCTCTCGTCAGTGGCTTTGCCTTTCGATCGGTGGTTCGAGAATTTTAATTCTGCTCCCCTTCTCCAGCGCGACAGTTTCTGCGGCTTACGGCAAATTCATTGTTCGAGAATTTTTTTTCGATATTTGATAATTTGACGAAATAGGAACTTTAATTGGAAGAAGAGAGTGGAATTAGAAGGAATTCTTGCTAGTGGCCTCAAGTTTGCCTTTCGACGGACGGTTCGTGAATTTTATTTTCCTCGGTTCCTCTGCGGCTTACGGCAACTCATTGTTCGAGAATTTCTTCGATACTTTATATAATTTGATGAGATGGGAACTTTAATTGGAGATGGCGACAGAATTGGAAGAAATTTATGATTCAGGAGTTGTGTATAGGGTGTCCGGAGATTTGGTTTAACGAAATCTCGAACAAATACAAATACGTGTATGATGAGATGCATAAAACTTATGTTTGTACATGATTCTATTATTATATTATTATGTATTATTGTTATTATTATTACATTATGATATATTATTATTATTATTATTATTATTATATTATTATGTATTATTATTATTATTACATTATGATATATTATGTTATTATTATTATTATTATTATTATTATATTATTATATTATTCTATTATTATAGTTGTTGAAGAGGATGAATTAATCGTTTGCATATTACGAAGAATTACATTTTTATAATAAACTCAATAGCACATTGATACTCCTTGTGCATTGACATAACTCTATATTTCATATTATTGGTACAACTTTCTAATGAAAGTTACGTCTTATTTATAGATTTTATTTTTTATAATTAGAACTACTGTCAAAGTCAAAATACTAAATATATGGATAGGATACGCATACGAACACGCACAGAGTTCGAAAAAAATGTAAAATTTATTAAAAATATAATTCACGAAAATATAGAATTATAAGAAATATAGAAATTCATAAAAGTCAGCATTTATTATTCGTAATATCTTCCAATCAAGTTTTTATTTACTTATTATGCTCAATAAAATAAATAGTACAATCTGTCATTGACAGCAATATTTTATATAACATTATATTATATTGTAGTATTTTATATTATATTCTCCATTATTATCAGAGAGAAGCGATTCGATTATCTCGGTAGCAGTAACAATTCGCAAGATAATTTATTCAGAGCCATCTGTTCTGCCCGCGAATTTTCGTCATCGATCACACGCGATCGATGTTGCGCGCTTCAGTACTTGATAAATAAGATGGATGGATACTAAACTGGAGATGTATCGCGTGCTGCAGAGTCTCTTGACAAATGTTGAACTAATCAACACCGCCGGAATCGATGTTCGTGTCGTTGCGTTCACACTGAAAACAAAACACGCAACCGGAACACGAAACGACGATTTGTGCGCAACTGTGCGGCCTTGCCGCGAACTTTCGAAGTGCAGAAGAGTAAACAATGAGTGGAGGACTCGATGACCATTACTGTCTGTCAGTTTTACGGTTCGGCAAATCTGTTTACGAAAGTCGAGTTGATTGATAATGTTTGAACTAATGATAGATTCTGTCGACATATAATAACCATTATATTCACCGCGACATTTGGCTCTGGAATACATTATCATTTTGAATGAACGGCTGTAGATTTATTTCCCTGAGGCGCCCTGAAGGTTTTTAGTGTTCAAACTTCGCTAGTATGTGCTACAGATGAAAACAAAATATCAGATAGCAAGAAATATACAAATGGATTATATTACATGAAAAAGCCATGAGAAAATATGAAGTATGATAAATACGGTTTATTGCATGAAATGAATCGATTATAAGATTAATTAAAATTACGCATGAAGAAATTCGACAAAATGAGAAATATAAATTTAATATAGATATAAAAATATAAAAATATAATATATATAAAATATATAATATGAAAATATAAAAATATAATATATGTAAAATATATAATATGAAAATATAATATATAAAAAATATATAATATGAAAATATATATGAAATATAAAAATATAATATATAAAAAATATATAATATTTAAAATATATAAAATATATAAAAATATAATATATAAAATATATAATATGGGAATATAAAAATGTAATATATATAAAATATATAATATAAAAATATAAAAATATAATATATATAAAATATATAATATGAAAATATAAAAATATAAAATATGTAATATAAAAATATAAAAATATAAAATAAACATAAATATATAAAAATACAAAATAAATATATAAATATATAAAAATATAAATTCAATTTTGCGTAAAAGAAAATGACCGTTCGAAATGCACGCGTTTCGTATTTTTATTACAACGTTTTAATGAAGCACTCATAGACCTCGCTTCGTAACTTTTTTAGTCTTATTTTCATTTGTAGAACACAGTGGCGAAGTTTGAACATTAAAATACACAAATGGATGTCCTGTGCTACAGTGTTTGTAGTATAATTGGAAAGAGGGTGATTCTGGGTAGAAAAATAGGTTGAAAATGTGGAACAATATTTTTTCATCGAGACGCTACGTTTTCGAAAGAATTGACTTTAACCATTTGGTTGAATTAAAGCAATTGAGTTGAAGACTTTAAGTGCAAAAACTGAGCGAGACCACTTTCGTGCCACTACTTAAAATTCTACTTGTACCAGAATCAGACAAGTTTAATTTCTTTGCAATAACATTATCTTTTGAGTTATCTTCACTTCGTTATGCCGTGAAAATTGGAACACTCTTTGTATTAATTACAATTTTCATGTAACGCTCTTCGAATACCTGAACGTATTGAAAGAATTTCGAATTATAGGAAAAGTTTTCAATAATAACATTCCTCTTGCAACCTCGAAAGGGTATTCTCCTCGAATTTCTTCCCACGCATTCCTCCCATGACAAAATACAAACCATTCAAAAACCCTCGAAACTTCTCAATCGATACCTCCATCAACCCAACCACACCCACTGAAATACACCTAGACCAATTCTGATACTCAGAATTCTCTATGTGAATTAAATACTAAATTCAATTCAATTCTTGGAATATTAAAATAATTTCGCCGACACATTCCTTTCAATCATTTTTATGAACACAAATGATTCAGAGACACTCTTTTACCAATTCCATCATTCAACATTTTGTCCCTATATTAAATATTAAATTCAATTAACACTATCAAAGTGATTGAAATGATTTGTAATTTTTTAGAGACTGAGAATAATTTTTGTAAGATATATGAGAATGAAAGTTCCTATTCTCTGCGTTCTAATTTCTTTGACTTTAATTTATCTCTGGTGGCTCTAGTGTTAAATTTTCCATGTATTAAAAAGAAAAATTCAAATTATATAAAATATATAGTACCAGTATCTAACAAGATCTCGAGAAAAAAGCTCTAGATCTAACTTCAACAATATATTCCTTTCAATCACGACAGAACACAAACCATTCAAGAACACTCGACACCCCCATCAACCCAACCACACCCTGTGAAATACTAATCTGAACCAATTCTAATACCCGGAATTCTATCCCTCTGATACCTCCAATTCGTACCAGTACACACATATATCCATCATCCAGTGGATCCACCATAGAACTCAGCACACGTCCCTGACATTATTACCCAATAAATCCGATTCACACTTTACAATTCGAAAAATTTACCACAGGGGCAAATAAAACGACAGATAAGTGGAAATTATTGCAAAACGGGCAGTATATATTCAAGTTTCTTCCGTCTCATTTATTATAGACAATCTTTATAGAGGTGTAGTGAACGAGGCAGAAGAAAACATAAATATACACGTCTCGTTTTATAATTGATTTCCACTTATCTGCCTTTTCGTTTGCCGTCGTAATGAATTTTTGAAATTGTTAAGAGACTTTACACCCCTTTACCATCCAGGATCGTTTCACGCGAACGAGCCCTACCCTCCGGCGTTTGTCGCTCTCGATGAGCCTCGAATAATAAAAGTGAGCCTCGACAGCGAAGCGATAACGGAGAACGACGGTGGTGATGATTGCAGAGAGCGACAAGAAGGTGGTGGTGAGACGGGAGGCCGGAGGTGAGTTCGGTTTCCGTATTCACGGCTCGAAGCCGGTGGTCGTTTCCGCGATCGAGCCTGACACGCCCGCCGAGAGCTCTGGCCTGGAAGTCGGCGACATTATAATGTCGGTGAACGGGAAGAGCGTGATGGACGCGACGCATTCGGAAGTGGTGAGGCTGGCGCACTCCGGCACCGACGTCCTTGAACTCGAAGTGGCGAGAACGTGCAACGTGCTGGCGCCGCGAGTCGCCAGGCCCGGCACGAAGGAAGGAAGCGACGAGGTGCCTCTCTGTTCCGGCTACCTATGGAGGAAATCCGCGACGTCGTCCAACACGGACAAGTGGGTGCGGAGATGGTTCGCGCTGCGCCGCGACAACTGCCTCTACTACTACAAGACTGACGCGGTTAGTGTCAATTTATTCTCTTCATCTCTCTGTACATTTTCTTTTTTCTTTTTTTTTTTTTTTTTTTTTTTTTTTTTTTTTTTTTTTTTTGGACGCGGAATTCTTCGGTACGAAAGTAGAATAGAGTGCTAGAGAAGTTTCAAACGCCTTTGAATAATTTGTATCGTCGAATTTTATTACTTAATTTAACTTATATTACATATTTGAATTTTATTGATTAATTTATATTATTGGGTAATTTGTATTATTGAATTTTACTTCTGGACGATACGATTTTGTTTCTTGATGTTTACCACAGAGGGAGTTGCAAAAATTTGCTCGGCTTTGTATTTCTCCACTCGCTTTCATAGATTTCAAACTTAAAATGAAATTTATGGATTTAATTTTATGAAACTTAAAGAAATACATATATTTATTGAGTTAAAAATAGCATTGTTGATTATTACACTAGTATAACTAGTATTATTATATTAGTATTGTTATTATTATATTCAGGTAATTAATTATTAATTGCCTGATGGACAAGAAGAAACAAAACGGAAATAGATATTTTCGATTAGTAATTTACATTGCACAATGTAGATCGTAGAATAAAAAGAGATTCTCTCATTGCTATAATACGTTTACGCTCACTGACTCGCTTCAGAAACACTCTCTTACATCTTGCACCTCCAACTTTATTTAGGTGTCAACCGCAGCTAGAATTAACTTTCCTACGTCTATATTTAACAATTAATATGAGCACGTATTCCATTCTGAATCGCTGAATTTTGTCTCGTAGCATTCTGTTTTATTCGTGACGATTTTAAACATATCACTGGTCCTCGTGCAAAATACTTTCTAGAATTTTGTATTAAATGAATCCTTATTATCAGAATAATCCAGACGTTTTACTATACGAATACTTACTAAAAATAAATGCTTATTCTTTCTAGTAATTTATTTTATATTTATATCTTGCCACGTTGTTTATAATTGCCATTTGTAATTTATGAAAATATTTATTAGAATACGAGATTCGAAATTTTAAGAAATAAAATAGAACATGTCAAATTATGTTTAATTCAATATTATGCTCAATATTATGATGAGATTATGGTTAATTCAATATTTCATGTGTAAGTAACGCAAGATATCTCACATTTAGATGTAATTTTTTACAAAAACAAAGAAAAATACGTGTCTTCTTATGTCGGAACATTCAAAACATCTAGAGAAGAATTCAAAGCACAGAAAAAATATAATTCTATATATATATATAAAAAGATTAATTCAGTAGTCAAAGAAATATAGCTTAGTATTCTTAAATCTCAAACTAAAATAACAATTTTCTTAATTTTCATTCGGTTACATGACAATAATATTGTTGAATTATTATACAAACAATTATAATAATTTATGTTAATATAATTATTATATTGCATATATATTATATTATATTAATACAGTATATATAATATTATATTACATATTATATATTGTCTATATTATAAATATAACATACAACATATATAATTTACAATATTCAATTCTATTTTGTATTTTATCTTTTCCGTGATAACGTCAGTAGGAAAGTTTTCAATTTTATTTTGTATTTTATCTTTTCCGTGATAAACGTCAGTAAGAAAGTTTAATTATATATCAAAAAATACTAAAATTAAATGATCTAGCAGACCTATTAAATCATTGTGAGTCTGCCAGTGATAGCAATTAAATTTAATGTCAGAGAAGATATCACAAAAGGTTAATATTAACATTACAAAAGTTTCTTCTTCGTAAGTTAGCTCTTTCGCCAATATTAGAAAACTCTTTGATATTACAAAACTTCCGTGAAACACTTTCGTTTCCCTGTTAGTGACAGAAACTCTGCTGCACCTAGTATCTTCGATCGAGTATTATATATCTTCGTTGCCGGCGTGAAAAGATTTCGTGAAAATTCGTACAACGACGTTCCAAAATAAACGAGACCGGAAGATTCAGCAAACAAAATGATTTCGAACCTTGTCGGTTAAACGAAACACCATACACTCACACAATTTAACCACTTGCGCTGGCAACTGGATTGCGGACCGTAACGAGTGACCAAACCTTATACAATAATATTTCGTCGCTTTCTTTCTAAAATCGTCGGTATGATGTCGCTGGATAGAAATTATTGACAAGTAAATAGATTTATAATTTGTTTCGCCTGGATTATACTTGAATATACTTAAAATTTAGAAAATATTGCAATTTTGGGACAAAAGATTCGACGTGGCACGTTACTTTAGCGCAAGAGGTCAAAAAAATATCTCAAATGCATTTTTTTTCTATTTTAATAAAAAATAAAATTAAGTATAATATTATATATATAATAGAAAATAAAATATTTTGACAAAACAACAATTTGGCACACTCATTCTTAGTTTGTCTCAAGAGAGACGCCTGTAGCAGATACGAAGGTCACTGCCACTTTTTCAAATATAATTCGTCATTTTCCGTAAAAAAAAAAAAAGAAGTTATTGATAAAAAAAATCTAGAAATTATTGAGAAGTAATAAACTTATTCGTTTTATACTTGAATATACTTAAAACTGAGGAAATGTTGCAACGTTGGGATAAAAAATTCTCACGGTGCGTGGCAAGAGGTTAAACCTCGAAAACCCGATGGTGGGTCGTAGGTTATCGAGGTGGCGAGTGTTAATGGATGATTGTTCTGTTGGAAAAACTGGATTCACCAGTGGACGATCCCCGTTTTCGTAGGATTCGCAGCCAGTGGGGGCGGTAATGCTGATAAGGTACGACGTGGAGCAAACGCCTGAGCTGCGGTTACATAGTTTCGCGATCAAGAAACAGGGCGCGCCTACGCTTCGGCTCGCGGCCGACACTGAGGAAGCTGCCGCTCGATGGACGACGTTCATCAAAGAAGCCATCGAGAGAAACGACCAGGTAAATGTTACGGTCTCGAGTTACTCTCGACATTTATTTCCGGGACATGATCAGAGAGGAAACGAGTGATGTTAATATCGTGTACCGGAAATACGTACGTATGTATCTGAAGTGTGAGAAACTTTCTCGACTAGAGTGTCATTTAATTGTTCAACGCTGACCTCTACCAAAAATGATTTCATATTTTTAATACCTCGTTTCTTGTGTCAATTTGTGATACATTTTTACTTCTAGATAACGTTATATGTGAAATATAGTTCCGATTTGTTTCTCAAACGTGTAAGATGCGACTTTGGTATTGTTTGATAACAGAATCTGCCGCCAGTGTTGCAGGCAAACGTTTGTTTTCAGCTGCTTCTTTTCATTATTATACATTTTTCGAAGATTTTATACGCCTTCGTACAACTTCGAAACAGAAATAGACATAACGTTAGATAAAACTAGAGAAAGTACATATCACGATATGAAATTGACTTGATAAGTGAGAGTAGGCTTGACTATAGAAATTTAATTTATTTATTTATGTCTATCGATAAGAGAATTTTTAAACTTATCCACTTTTCATCGCAGCTATTAATTTTTTTATTGTTGTGTGTAATTTGACGCTAATCGGCAAATAGAAGGATCAATGACAATTAAACGCAATAAATACTAAAGTAATACTAAATTTTTTTATTTACATATGCGAAAGCAACAGTGACCATTCATTGCACGCGTTATTAACAATAATGCATAGCGTTCTAGTTACGAAAACTATGATTCGTTCAACATTGTATCATTTTGCCGTGATCATTGATAAAATGAAAAGTGTATTATATTAAACTCTGTGATTGACAAAATGATCAACCAGTTATAAATTGTGCGCAGAGAGAATTCCTCAACGTTAAATTGATATTAAATAAATCCCGTTGGAAAATTGTTTCTCGCTTTTTCGCGAACATACCTTTTCAAACTGTTGCACTTTTGTCGCAACCGAGCGATATATTTTTATTCTCATCGCGGCGTCAAACTTTTTTGGACGAATATCTCAAAATTTATCACACGATTTCAAAGTGTTGTATAATATATTTCCATCCATTATTAATCCTTTCGCCGAAGTGTGATATATCGTCCTTGGCTACACAATGACACGTCACTGTGATACGAATCGTTATACTTGAAAATGACAACACTCCTCTTGTTGGATGCTATGCATCATCGAATTATTATACTACTTATTTCTCTTTTGATGCACAGATTTCCTCTCTCAATATTGTGGATATCATTTAAAACCAAATTTTTACATTACATATACAGTTTGATTCAATAACTTTTTTGTCCAAAATTAATTTTCTCCGTGGTAAAAGATTTAGCTCAACAAATAACATAAAAATGCACAATGTTTTGCTAACAAGCCACAGAATTTTTGGAAAGATAAATCAGAATAGAAACATAAAATATTGTACAAAAAAACACAAAATATTATAGCAAAAAAGATTTTTGGGAGAATCTAACATATTTAATATTTTTACGTACAGTTACAGCTATATGCAGATATCAGAAATTAATTCTTAACAAAATCTTCTGACTTCTAATGAAAGTTACTCTGAAAATTATTTTCTAAAATTAACTTTTCCAAAGTGTGAAAAATATGAAAAAGTCTAAATCATCAGTGGATCATGATACAATAACATTTTCACGGCAAGTATTACTTTAATTATCCAAATGCAAATAAATAACGAAAGCCTATGATTATTATATCATAAGATTTTATATAATAGTAATTATAATTAATTTCGGATTTATTAATAATATTTCTCACAAACAATGGTCACTGTATTTATAAAACTTATAAAATTCTTGCCCGAGAATTGAGAAACTGTTGACTGCTATGCGAATACATATACTTTGTCCGTCAGATGGAATATTTAATTTTTATAAAATATCCTGTTACAGTAGAAGTGCATTTTTTCATTTTATGATATCATCAAATTATTTATATTCTTTGAAATTCTATTTTCAATTTCAATAGCCATAGAAATAGAAACGTAAGCATTCCACTATGGTATTAGAATTATAAACTATAATAATAGAAAAAAGAGATTATTAATTAATTCTGTCATTAGCTAAAGTCTAAAAGCTAGTAATCATTATGAATAAATCATCTGGTATTTTTGTAACGATGAAATGTAATATTGAAGCGACAAGTATTCTCAGATTTATAAGTTGCACGATATTCATTTTTATTCGAAAGAAATATATTCATAAGACATAAAACAAAATTACATCAGTGTCTCTAATGTTGGTAACTAAAATTAAAAAGAAAAATCTCATTAGTATGTTCATTGTAAGAAAAATATGTGTGAGTTTTTACGATCCTTCGTGTACATTTTTGAAGATTGCTTCGTTATCCAGGTAAAAGGGGCCTCGAGAATTTAATGAAACGATGAGAGTCCGAGTACTTGTAAGTTTAAGAAAACAAGATACGTTTCAAATCCTCGAAGTTTGGCCATCTGCCTGCTGGAGTTGTTTGAATGGCTGAATTGGACGCTGAGATATCTGGCAGCACACTAGGGAAGCATGCAGTTTGATCAATGTCCTTCTATTTGTACGATACTCTCGTAAAACACGATTATTTAAGATAATTACAATTTCTTAATTGCAAATCAATTTAATCATGCTGAATTGTGGTTTCAATCTTAACTGACGTGGTCTGAGTTAAATGTAATATATTTTCTTTCGCAAATTTGTTTATTTATAAATTTATTCACAAGCACAGTGAGGGAAGAATATAACATCGTAAAGTTATAATTAAAATACACTACCATTACTTTATATTTTGAAATATATTACAAAAAGTAAAACGTGTTCACGTAGGAGAAGCCGAGGCAAAATGGTATAGTAAAATTATCCAGACACTAGTAGTTTGTAGTTTGATCATACACAAGATGTATGAAATTTATTGTTTAACTATATTATTTACACTGACATTAATACTCACCATTCAATAATCATTCCTGATCTTATTTCCTATCTAGCTTTGGTCTCTCCCATTACAAAAGATACGAACGTACGTCAAAGAGAACAAATGCTAGAAAGATAATTGGATTTTCTAACAAAAATGTTTGTTTGAAATGATAAAAATAAATCGAGGCTCTACAAGAGCAATGGAGAGTTCCCTGTTTCTCTCTACACTCTCTGTGCACATTTGCCGACGATTTTACAGGTTGACACTTGGCTGGAAGCATCGCTGAGAATGCGTGAAATGGCAGCGTGCGCGATTCACAGACCAGATTGCTTTGGATACCTGAGCAAGCAGCAAGAACACGCGAGGAAAACGTCCTCGCCAACCGGTTGGTCCAGGCGGTATTGCGTGCTAAAAGACGCTGCATTGTATTTCTACGACGACGCTAATGCGGAGAAGGCGTTCGGTGTCGCCTGCCTTCACGGCTTCAGGGTGCATAGTAGCGCGCCCACTTCCGGTGGCAGGAAACACGCGTTCGAACTGCAACCACCGGACCCCACGCAGAGGAGTTACATTTTCGCTACTGATTCAGAAATGGATAAGAAACGGTAACCCGCTATCTATTCTTCTATTAATTTTATTAATTTTAGTGTTATTAACTTTATTAATTTTAGTGTCATTAACTTTATTAATTTTATTAATTTCGGTGTCATTAACTTTATTAATTTTATCAATTTTATTGCTATTAACTTTATTAATTTTATTGTCATTAACTGTATTGATTATATTAATTTTAGTGTCATTAACTTTATTAATTTTATCAATTTTATTGCTATTAACTTTATTAATTTTATTAATTTTAGTGTTATTAACTTTATTAATTTTATTGTCATTAACTGTATTGATTATATTAATTTTAGTGTCATTAACTTTATTAATTTTATCAATTTTATTGCTATTAACTTTATTAATTTTATTAATTTTAGTGTTATTAACTTTATTAATTTTATCAATTTTATTGCTATTAACTTTATTAATTTTATTAATTTTAGTGCTATTAACTTTATTAATTTTATTAATTTCAGTGTCATTAGCTTTATTAATTTTATCAATTTTATTGCTATTAACTTTATTAATTTTAGTGTTAATAACTTTATTAATTTTATTAATTTTATTGTCATTAATTTTATGAATTTTATTAATTTTAGTGCTATTAACTTTATTAATTTTATCAATTTTATTGCTATTAACTTTATTAATTTTATTAATTTTAGTGTTATTAACTTTATTAATTTTATCAATTTTATTGCTATTAACTTTATTAATTTTATTAATTTTAGTGCTATTAACTTTATTAATTTTATTAATTTCAGTGTCATTAGCTTTATTAATTTTATCAATTTTATTGCTATTAACTTTATTAATTTTAGTGTTAATAACTTTATTAATTTTATTAATTTTATTGTCATTAATTTTATGAATTTTATTAATTTTAGTGCTATTAACTTTATTAATTTTATCAATTTTATTGCTATTAACTTTATTAATTTTATTAATTTTAGTGTTATTAACTTTATTAATTTTATTGTCATTAACTGTATTGATTATATTAATTTTAGTGTCATTAACTTTATTAATTTTATCAATTTTATTGCTATTAACTTTATTAATTTTATTAATTTTAGTGTTATTAACTTTATTAATTTTATTGTCATTAACTGTATTGATTATATTAATTTTAGTGTCATTAACTTTATTAATTTTATCAATTTTATTGCTATTAACTTTATTAATTTTATTAATTTTAGTGTTATTAACTTTATTAATTTTATTGTCATTAACTGTATTGATTATATTAATTTTAGTGTCATTAACTTTATTAATTTTATCAATTTTATTGCTATTAACTTTATTAATTTTGTTAATTTTAGTGTTATTAACTTTATTAATTTTGTTAATTTTATTGCTATTAACTTTATTAATTTTATTAATTTTAGTGTTATTAACTTTATTAATTTTGTTAATTTAGTACTATTGACTTTATTAATTTTATTAATTTTATTGTTATCAACTATATCAATTTTATTAATTTTATTATATTAATTTTACTGTATTCCTTTAGACAATTTTTCATTATCTTTTTGAAAAATTATATCATTAAATATAAGATGGATTTCAATTTTATAACAGCCAGCTTTAATTAAAAGTCTTTAATAATAAGTTTTTAGTAAGTGTCTTTGAACATTTAAGAGTGAAATATTTCTTGTACATTATTTACATTGTATAATATTTCATACAGTGAGGTTGTTGAAAGTCTGTGTACAATGTCAAAAGATTTGGTATTTCTTCTTTATAGTTATGACAAAATCTGACTTACGTAATATAGAACAGAGAAAGTTTTTGGTATTTGTTTAAATATACATGATATTGAGAATTAAAATTTTTTTACCAACATTAGCAATAGTTATTTACTGTGTATATTATGTTTATTCATTTCTCTTTAAATTAAAGATAATTGCATTTTATATAATTATTTTGTGCCATTTGTTTTTTATTTTATTTGCCTCACGTTTTCTCCTGCCTGTCATTATATTAATGAATGTTGATTATAATTTTTCTAGATCACATTATCAAAATGATAATATAAAATAGTTTCTTAACATTGTTCCGCATTATTTGTTTAACGATTGTTATATTATTTGTTTCAATTATTATCATTTTATTTGTTTACGTGATATTTGAAAAAAAATGTATAAAATATCGAAGACAGAGTGATTGTAGCATTTAGCTACAGCATCCAACTGTAACAATTGTATTGTTAAATTCAATAATACTTTAGCTACTTCTTCATAATCAACGGGATTTCCGATTTCGTTCCAAAGAGGCAACTATGTTCATTTGCAGGTGGCTGGCAGCGCTCGAATATTCGATCGATCGATGGATAAAGATTGGTTGACAAAGGCCGACCTACCGTACGAAGAAGCAAAGAAGTCGAAGCAGCGAAGATCCTTTGAGATGTCCTTCGCCTCTTCCTGTCTCCGGTTCCTAACGAACATTGTCGAAAATCACCAACTCATCGGTCACCGTCGCCATTATCGCCTCGATTCTCGTTCGCAAATTCATCGCGTGGATCATGTCGCAGATACTCTTTAAATCCGCGATCCCACAAACATCATGAACTACTTTTAATTTTCCTTCGAGAAGAGAAAAGAAATGAGACCTTCGTCGGGAATTCCCCGTTCTCACTCGTTCAGTCGAGGATCAATGACATAACATTGAAAATCTCTTGCCGTTGGAGGAATGACTTTTCTCTGATTGCAAATATTTTTCAGACATCGGTCAAGCGTCAGGTTGCTGTTTAATTGATCGAGATATCTTGACGTTTTCTACTTTGTACAGACGTTCTGTAAATTATTATTATTATTATCATTATTATTATTATTCAATCTGTGGATTTCTAAACGATTCTGCTGTGTATTCTATCTTCTCTAGCTGTTTCTGCATACTGTTTTTTCTGATTCACACAGAAAATAATCTCTTCGTCGATCTCGTTGTTCCCAGATGATCCCGATGACCGATTCGCGAACTTCGTTAGTCTCTCAGTGTCACAAACACCATTTTATAATGATTGTTAGTTGTCAGTGGCGCTGTGTTTGCCGAGCGTTAAACAATTTGATATTATACTTGAAACACTGTTTCTCAACGTGTACTATATTTGGAATATTCAATATTCTGCTGTTCAGTTTTCTTCCGAGTTGCGAAGGATAGTTGTGTTGCACGATTTTACGCGGTTCAAAGTAATTGAAAGAACTGTGTGTCGACTAAGAATGAACGCGTTCACTGCCGCGCGAGATTTATACGTTTTTACTCTGCGGATATCGGAATATTCAATTTGTTTATGTTACATTCTTACAATTATATTTTATAAATAATTTTATCTAATATAATTACAATAAAAGCATTGTGAAATCGTGTTTTTCATTTATTATTATTCTAATCTTATTATTCTATCGTAACCGTTCTGAAGTATTCGCAGAGATGAGAACGTTGATCACCATGGTAGAAAAACGTATTGAAAAATGTTAAAAACGACGACGGATAAATTTCCTTCGTTGTTGAAAAAGAACCGTGAACTGTTAATTATTTCGAACAGTATGTTTACAGAGTTATATTACACGTGTACACGACATTTCTCTTATAAGAAACACGTATAGGCTGTAAGATCCAATACAATTAGGGTTTAATTTCCATAGAATTTTTATATTACATTTCTAATCGATGTTTATTTAAACGGGGAGAATTCACTTTCGCAAACATGTCGCCAACATAATTGAGATGATCTAGTGCTCATCGATGTGTGTCACGATCACGAACGAAACAGACCAGCTTCAGAATCCCTTTCATTTTCCTACAAAGTACAACGCACAATTTTTACCGTTTGTATAATCGTTACTTTTCCGATCATCGACGCTCATCAAACGTATCAAAGACTTGAAAAGAGAAAAACGTTGTAAGAAAGTAAGTGTCACAGCAGCCATTATCATTGTTTAAACGGCGAACAGAATGTGCTTGAGAAATGCTGTTTCAAGTAGACGATCCCAGTATCGAGTCAGACAAATTTTAACGCGGTAGAGGAACTCTATTTATCGGAACTCGATCCATTAGAATTGGTATTTGAACATACTGCAAGAGCATAACCTAATCGAATCGAAGGCGGAAAATAATATATACGTAATATGAAAAATTTGATATAAATTATCTTAATGAGCAAATAATTTGATATAAATTCTGATATAAGCGAATATTAAACAGTCTGAAATATGTTTGTGTAACATAATAATGAACTATACTGCATTACAGAATATAAAAGATCGATCGTACTTGCTTGCAATGCTTCGTGATACGTTAATAACAGATCTTTCAAAATGACAGATTTCATCGGTTCAGAATTTAATGACTAAAAATATACTGCTAAATAATGCTTATTTCGATCTAACGAAGTTGATTGTAACAGATTTAAAAAATTATATTAATCCATACGAGGACTTTCACATGTGTTTCATAAAATAAAGATAAATAGATTTCTTCCTTTCTTTCCTTTGAGAAGAAATAAATAATAAATAATGAAACAAATAAATTTTAATTTCAATTTGGAACAATGGTCCAAGAGTCAGAATATGCAAATTGCGAAAAACGATCAATCATCGTTCAAGGATCTCTTAATCATAAAATAATTATAAAATTGTTTCGCAATGATCGAAGTGCATCGAGTCTGTTTAATCAAAATTTCATCAACATTATTTTCAAGCGAGCTAAAAACGTCGAAACTGTCATTAGGTCAGTATCGAATTTTCACGAATTTCAACAATAACTATGTCAGTGCAGTTGCAATTTACATCAACCTATGTTCCGATAAATGGAGTTCGACTCGTGATCTTGCCGCTCGCGACTTAGCAGATTTTTGTATTGTTAATATCAGCTTTTGGATTCCGTTTTTATATATACAAACGTTGCATACTCTACCGAGGTACAGGAATTGAAATCACACACGACAAGCGTGGAGCGTCAAAAAAAGAAAAAAAGAAAAAAAAAAAATTTTTTAAAAGGAGAAAAAGAGTAGAGAAGAAACGCGAAGGGACGAAAGAATTGTTTATTCACCGATTGTGTCTTGTATTAATTAGAACGGCTCCCACCGATTTTTCTCTTACAGAAATAGGATTCGATTTTTAGCTTTTAAGAGGGTTCAAACTGTCGTCCATCGCGTTGTTCACGAATTTCCATTGGGCACCGTTCACGGAAGTTCGAGATAGCGTTGAATCGAAGCATCTCCTCGCGAGATGATACATCATTATCCAGTGTCGATGAGCAAATAAACAATCGGACGTTGTCGTAATGTTCATTAACCCTTCATATCCGACATTTCTATTAAATTTTCTCTGTCATTGTTTAGACCGCGGACGTTTATGCAAATTTTCAAATCTTGACGAACATAGTCGAGACAGTAGAAACTTGTTTGCATTGTTATAACAAATACTTTATTTCAAATATTCTATATATTTTTTCGCGATATATGCATTCTATGTGTTTTTGCATCGTCCAGGTTTCTTTCATAAAAATCCGCAATAATTAGATTGTTTTTGACACATTGTAAACATGGGGAAGAAGAAAATAAATTTTTTTAATTATTTCCTACCTTATTTGAACCACGATATTTACAAATACCTCAGTATATTTCGAATTTTATGTGGCCAGAATAGAATACCTGCTGGAGCAGATGAGCATCTAGTTATTAACAGATATTTTCTGAAAATATAACATAATATTTGAATATCGAAATATTCGGGAAAGAATATTCACGTAAGAGAGAATATTCTCTATTCCATAATTGGAAGATAAAAGTTTAAAAAAATTGCTGTGCTTCCACGAGGAACTGTTGTCGCATTAAAAAGCAATACTTTTATGTATGGTTAGGATATAAAGGGTTAAAGGCAACATACGCTACTGCTAGAAACAATAACAGAGACGCTGAAATGATGTACAAAATATCAATTTGCTGTATCACTCGAATCGTAGTAATGTAAGCATATTGTCTGCAGAGGTATCGTGACTAACTAACACCATTTGTGAATTAGAGTACTTGCAGTATATATCTCTGACAGAAGGACAAAGGAGTATAAGTTTTGCAGAAAATATAATACAGCAAAGTTCCCTTCGTTCTTCTATTTTTTTCGAACATTTTAATATATACTGTCAGAATGAAATATACAATTAGAAAATTGTCTATTATTAACAGACTTCTGTTTTGGTAATGTAATGTTCAGATATTCGAATATTAATAAAAAAAAAAAATATATAGAGACTAAGGGAAACTTTATTGTATTTCAAACTTGAAGTGCAGCAACATAAAAGTTGGTATTGGATTTTGTGAGTGAAAGTTGATAATATATATCTCGTTTTCTTTTGTTTTTTTTTCTGAAAATGACGACTCGTGTTATTTTCACTAAAATTTGACATATACTCTTTTGTCTATTTTGTCAGAGACGTCAGAAAATGATACATGCCTTTCGAATGAAATGTTTACTCGTAGGGAATAAAATTTTGTCCGAACAAAATGTGGCTTTTGCTTGTGTAAATGGTTGAAGATTCATTCGGATAATTATTGATAAATGTCATAATTAGATTATAAAGATTGTAAAGATCATGAAAATGATTAAAAGTAAGGGAGAGGGGCTGAACCTATGAAAAATACACAACCTTTTCAACTTCGAGAAATTGCGTAAACATGGCTTATACTTTATACACTATACCACTAGAACTTTTTCTCCGTAAAAAATCTTTTTACAAAAAATTTGTTCATAAAAATTGTACGAACTTACAATGATACATTTTTAGAAACTTGTATAATTTTTCGCGAAAGCGTTACATTCTTTATTGCATAAATTTCACTACATTCTTTATTGCAATAAATTTCACTTCATTTTCTCTGATCTGAAAAGTTTTATACTTTAGTCGTCGATAGTTCTAGTGTTAATGAAATGTTAATATCTTTAAAATATCTGTATTGAAAAATACTTTTCGAACGAAAATGTAATAAACTGCCCCTCCCTGTAGTCATTTACAAAACGGTTCAAGACTTCATTCCTCTAAGATTAATTAATCGAGTAATCTTCAACCATATCGAGATATCAAAATGACAAAAGAAGGGTGGAAAAAAAAAATCAAAAAAGAACTACTGCGAAATTTTCCTATTGGCCAGGAAAAAAAAATTCTTAACCCGTCAAAGACTAATGCAACATTTTTTTCATTTGTAATTCTTTTCAATCAGTTTATATTATCAAGTCCCAATTATTAATATTTCAAAAATTCACTCAATACTCTTCCATCATTACGTCTTCTTGTGGGTTTTAATAAAATTTCCAGAAATTCAGAAAAAATACCAAAATTCTTTCATGGTTAAGTATGTCTTCCATCTAGATTTTATAGTTTCATGAAACTTTAAGAAATCGAATTATTTATAATATTACAACAATGTATAACAGTGAATTAATGTGAATATTTGTAACATATTATTACAACATATTTATAATATAATATAATATTATATTAATTATAATATAATATAATATTACATTATATTATATTATTTAATAATTAGACACTCGAATTTTTATGCGTTTACAGGAAATTTGAAGCTGCAGAATTACCATGTTCACTAAGAATTTCTTTAATGTAAGAAATTCAGTGTATAACATTGATTGCAACATTTAATTGGTGAAACAAATCTCCGCGTATGTTTAACCAAGTCCAAGAAGATTTATAAATTTGCATAAAAATCTAATCTGATATATTATGATACAATATTATGTAATTATAATTTATAGTACATCATTTACAATATTATAAATACTTCAATTAATAAATAATAAATCGCTTGGTCCTTGATGGGTTAACCAAGTATCTAAATGCTTTGCGTGAGTATGCGAACCATCAGACGACTAAAAACGCACGCGCCCGTGTGTGTGTATGTGTGTGTGTGTGTATGCGTGTATGTGTATGTGTGCGTGTGCGTGCATCATCGTCAATATATTTGTACCGATCTCGAGAAAGAAGGGAACCACGCGAATGCAGAACGAAGATGAGCAGAAACGATTTCCCTCGAAACAGCGACGAACGAAGACTAATTACTGTTTCGTGCAGCGAGAAAACGAGGAAACGAGGAAACGGTGAAGTCGATCAGTGATCGATATATACAGTGAATTCCAGAGTGGAGGAACGAAGGACAAAACGAAGAAGAGAGTGAAGTCGAGAGGAGCATTGAACGACAGACCGCTCAATAAAAAAAAAAAAAAAAAAAGAAAGAAATTAAAAAAAGAAAAAAATAAAAGCACAGATAATAAAATAGGAGGTTTAATACAATTGTAGAATGAAGTGCGTCAATTATTTACCTGTCACCCTTCGAGCTGGTTTGAAGGACGTTGGTTTTATCGCTGTTTAGATGATGCAGTGTCGTTTTCCATGGTAGGAGGGTTCCTCTTACCGCCAAGAAAGCCGGACAGCGGTCATTCTACTTGACCAATGGACATTTTCATTCGTCGGTCGTTTAAATAATTTTGCAGACAACACGTTTGCCACGATGTCGTTTGTCTGACTGTTCCGCTTTTGGAACGGTCGGACAGTTGATCGGTTGGGTAAGTGTCACACGGAATAGAATTTTTCTCACGTTTCCTATTCCCTTTGGTATATATCATTGAAGGAATGGGTTGACTATTATTGGATTGACGTGTCAGAGATTGATTTGTCAGTAGGTGTATGCGTTTGTAATTGATCGAAGTATGACTAACCGTGACGACAATTACGATGTCTATATATTGTAGAGTATACTTCGTGTACATACGTGATTTGATTGGAGATGTTGGATGATGTTGGAGAGTGAGTCATGTAATTGGGTTTAGTTGTATGTTGTCTAATTTATTTGCAGACAGAAGGACGTCGTTTGTTGATTCCTTTCTGTAAACATGCGTCGACTATGAACAACACACCCTTTTTTAATCCTTAAGTATTATAGACATATTGAAATTCTCGCAACTGTATACTGCTATATTGTTATTAGCCTTACGAGTTACTGAATTGGGCATTTTTATCTATTTGTGCAATTACATACTTGTGTATTTGCATGTAACATGCAAAAATATATAAAGTATTCAAAGTGGTAAAATAATTTTTGAGTAAATTCCTTTTTTTTTTTTTTTTTTTTTTTTAATGTCTACGTAAAAATACGAAATTGTCAGAAGTCTTACAATTGGAGCACTTTTTATTTTCCAATGTCCAGTATTTGTCTTGCATATGTATTTTATAATGCAATTAACCCTTTTTGTTGCATAAAATGTTGTTTGACTCTTCCAATTTTTTCTTTTTTTTTTTTTATATAAATACTTAGTACTTAATCTAAGACTTCTGAACGATGGTGTACACACAAGTGTACAAATTAAATTCAAATTTACTTATTGTTTCATATATTAACACTAAGGCATTCCATTATTAAGTGTAATTGAATAACATCAGTTGTACTAAAAAATAAAAATATAACAATGTAAAGAAAGTAAAGAAAGGGAAATAGCAATGACTAAAAATTGATAGCACTCTCACGGATGATCTATAATACTTAAGGGTTCGTAAATATAATGTCCATAGTCACAGACGAGATATATTCGTCTGCACTATAGTATATATGGACTTCAAGAACCCAAAGTTGCAGAAGAATTTTATTTTAATAAAATATCGGTTAAAATTTGATAAAACTAAAAACAAAATAAAATGTAAAATGACCAAAAAATAAAAAAGTACCCAACTAGACAAATTGACATAAACCTCTGTATTGTCAATTATTTTAATTCTTCAATATGAAAAATATTGCACACATACCAAATTATTGAAAATTCTTAACCCACTATGTTTCGAAAAATTAAATAAACGAAAGTCTCAAGATTAAATTAGTTCGGTACATTTTATAGAGAAAAATTCGACAAAATTATCAACTTGATCCAAATATGTGATTCATTCTGTACGTATTAATGAAAATTTCTTTCAGCAAGTAAAGAAA